GAAGATGCAAGAATCGTTATTGCCGCGCTTGCTCATTTAAATCTCTTATGTGATCACAGAGTCATGACTTTGATGACTGTTTTTTTTGTCGTGCATCCATAAATAACGTGTACCTATGCTAAAATTGAATAAATAAATAAATTTTTAGCTTACGCGATAAAGTGAACACCAAACAGTATAAAAAACATGAGAATAAAATCTACACAGAAGTGAAACTCGATAAACGTCATGTAAACGGTTACAGATGTTACCACTCTTCAAAAAGCGGCAGTAAGATATTTATTCAACTAGACTTTTTTTTAACGTACATTTCGTGCGGAAATGAATTCACCAATGATCACATGGCTAATGAATACTTCTCACGATTCTTGCATCTTCGACATTCGTATATATTATTAGTAATCCTCTGCTCACTATTTTGTTCACTGTTAGACAATGATTTGAACTTGGTCATCTAATCAATGGTCACATCACAACCGAATAGATTTTATCGATGTTGCAATCACGACAGCTACGATTTTATTCATCTACGTCACTTATGTCAAAACGAACTTTTCCTATTCATTGTTCATCGACTATCGTATGAAAATTGAGTGCTTCTGATAAAGAGAATTACAATGATGATGACAAATATGAGAAAAATTGTGGACCATTACTTCATTCACTGCAGAGAAATGCTATGAAATAAGTGAACTGATGTCTAATCATATGACGACTGAACAATTCTCAAGAGCGAAAAAACCATAACAATGGTTTTGACGATGATCACCATGTATTTGTACAAATTTATACTCAAGACGAATAAAAGACTCTCAAATAGATAACATAGAGCCAGATCACATAAAAATGTGAATAGTCGCAATAGCAACGATGAATAATTTCAAATATTTTTCTTACTTCAAAACAATAGACGAAAAAATGTTACAGAAGAGACAATGATGTAATAGATGAACATTCTTCATTACGACAAAAAAGTTATTGATCTATATTGTAGACTACGAAACAGAGTTGATCACATATTTGATTAATCGACAACTGCATTGCCAGTGAATAGTAATAACCAGGAAAAGGACAAAAAAAGTGTTTCTCATATGGTAGTTTTGGTAGGCATTTCTGTGATGATGGCGTCGGTGGAGGTTGGTCAACTGATAGCACAGGTGAACAGTGTTCAGCTGAAGGTACGAGTGAGCTTTGTTCAACTGATGGTATGGATGAGCGCTGTTCAACTGATGGTATGGGGGAGCGTTGTTCAGCTGATAGTATAGGCGAGCGTTGTTCAACTGATGGTATACGTGAGCGTTGTTCAGTTAATAGTGCAGGTGAACGTTGTTCAGTTAACACTACGGGTGCGCGTTGTTCAATTGATAGTATGGGTGAACTTTGTTTAACTGATAGCTTGGTAGGGTTTCGCTTAGATGGTGTTTCGATCAGCGGGATTGGCTTACACAGATCTAAATAATTATACGCCATTAGATACAAATAATCAACTGAGAAAAAACTTTTCCCTGTATATTGAGGCATCAAAAGTGAACAAGACAAGCTCTTATCTTTAAAGATGCGTTTATTAAATTTGTATCCGAAAAAATACAGAACCATTTTATGTTATGTTTTCTTCAGGAAAGAGACAGTACGCTCCTCACGTTTAAAAGAATACCAATAGCTTTATGTAGCTTCGTTTTAAAAGTGAACTAGCGTATTAAACTTACAAAATTATGAATGCTCTGCTTTATGAAGCTCCGCTGAACCCACAATCTGGTCAATCACACGCAATACAGAATCAACAACTTAGTTAATTGGTCAATTGTTAGCATTCGACTGACATACTGTCGCTTGTTGCTATGTTATCATATCTTTTCAAAGCATAATGCAAATGCTTTATCATTCACAATCAATCACCTATACTGATCATTCAACCATTGAAAAATTTTTGTGATGAAAATTCAATTGTGATAGAAAATCTCATGGGCACAAGTAACTTACCATTCATGTGATGCTGATTCATTTGAACTTAGATTAACTTCACACAGAACGTCATCATCAGATACAATCTTGATGGTTCATGATAAATATGTTCTTATGATATTCATCATATTGTTCCTGTTCGACGGTTTCCCTTCTTCTTTTCTTTTCTTTTCTCAATGAAAAACCTATTTTCTCAAGACTGCGAGAAAATCCAATAGATGACACAGAGCTCAGCCAATAAGAAATTTTTCATTACGATTATCAATATAAAGCTATTTCGACTTTCATGATAACATCTTTTTTTTCTATGTTTTGAGACTGTTTGTGTTTTTAATTTTATGTCTAATTATTCAATAAATCTCACTACTTCACATCTCATTTGATATCCCTTGATCTTCTCTACGAAAATCATAATTTTATGAAGCATGAATGAAAAAGAGTATTGAAGTATATAGCGACAAAAGTGAACTGTTCATTACCCTGTTCCATTGGCTCTTGTTGACAGATAGTCTAGCATCACAGATCATGTCAAACATTTCTACATACTTATCTTTCTAACCTTAACTGAAAGTGCTCGACATACCCACAATTCTTGTTTACGCATAGAGAAGCTCCACAGCCTCTCAAATTTTAATTTTTCAGAAATTATGTTGACAACCTTTTATGATGGATGGGTTGGTGAAGATGTTAGAAGATGGGCAAGTTGGTGTGAATATTTTTTTCATCTTCACCCACACATACATCCGCCTTTCTAATACAGAACAATTTAGATCAGCTCACCTAGTATCATGATTATCGCAGCATTTATTTTAAGTACTAGATCAAGACTTTATTTCAATGAAAATTCTTTCAGACTTTCTGTACTTAGGAAACAATATTTTTGACACTTACCATTTACTCCAACTAGACATACAACATATGAGCCATCGGCGATCATAATCGGAGCGCCCTCCATGCGCACTTTCATTCCGGGCCACAGTAACACTTCCTCCGTATCAGAGGTGGTGTAACCAGTCGCATTCTTTCCATCGACAGAGTCGATTTTGAAGAAAATCCCATTCTGACCAAGATGTTTTTTAATAGCATGAAACGACGTTGAACAAGAGCTGAAACTACACCAGATCATTTCTGGATTATTTTCTATTACATCCATGTCGTTACTGTATACTCCTCGCCAAATCTCTTTTGTCACATTAGGTAATTTATCGATTCCAGATTTCAATAACGTGAGATAGAGAAGCCAAGGTGTGATTTGAGATCGATTCTTAGATCGTAATGCTTGATTCAACTGATCATAAACACAATTTTCACCAGATACCATAGTGTAGAGATAGATGGCGGCTGATTCATCATGAGTAAGCCCGTGCTCTGATGGAAAACGGCAATTTTTTTTGGCTTGTCCTATGTAATGAGGATCGATTCGAGGAACGATGTGTTCCAGAGCTTGTTCGAGGGAGACGATTGGTTTCCTTAAATCTGAATCAGTCAGTAGTGGACGATTTGTATTGTTGATATCAACGTCGATAAATCGGTGCAATGCAAACAACTCAGTGGGGTCAGAAGGAGAAGGTTCTTGGTGTCCGTAAGATGGCGAGCAGCCCATTTCTTTAAAATAATCTACGAAAAGCAGTAAACTGGATAAAACCGTGTTCTGGCCCAAAATGGTTTTCGTTGTACTCAAAGACAACACATCAGATGAATGTTCAAGTATGGGATCGTGTGGAACACTATTTGCACTTAGCGGAAAGTCTTCTTAGCCATTTCCAACCCTCCGCCATTCTCCTCCCTGCACCCTAAAAAAGCAAATTTCCTCTCAGCAAATTCCTGGATAGGAATGTGTACAAGAACACACTCAAATACTTAGTTTTGCAAAATCTCTCGGTTAGACCTCTTATACCTAGGGCTTGCTGTAAGATTTTTGAAAAAAAAATTGTCATCTTCTATTTATGTCAAACTCATATAATAGAACATAATCGATCACTCAGATCACGAATATACTTAACAGAAAATTCGAAAATGATTTGAGGAAGACAAATCTTCCAATTAATTATTTAGAATACATCACTTTTCTTATTTTTCGCCAAAGGAGAAATCAATCTTCCCAGCCAAGGAAGATCGAACAAATCAAATAGATAATTCTTCCAATGCAGAATGTTAAGTCGAGCTCGATTATGGAATAGGAGAAGTCATTGAAGCTTGAGTTTTTCTCAGTGTCTGTGTATTTGAGGTAAGTGAGTGGTTGTAAGCTTTCTGATCATCCACATCTACGTAACTATTCGTCAACTCTTATTTTGAAGCCATGAATCAGTGTTCTAATTTTCAGGCAAATGTCATATGAAAAGCAACTATAGTTAATTTGTTGGATTTCGAAAACATTTGTAAAGATGGAGACTTCTATTACATATTACGCAGAAACCAGTAGGAACGAGGTTTTCTATTTCGGAAAGGCTGCTCACTATAAGATGAGTTGAATCTTTGCTTGTCTCAGTGCATAAATCAATCATAGGCATTAAAGTTCTAATATTCGTTGTTGCTTTACAGAAACAGTGATAACAACAACAGTTTGATACAAGAATATATCGTATTGAAGAAAGCAATAGAAACAGGATGTTTTGCTTGGATGAAAAGAAATTAAGTATGAGCATGACGTTGAAGAATGCGTTGGTGATGTAAATAATTATTTTCAGTCATTTGCTCATGATTTCTCCGACATAAAGAAGTGTTCAATCGTGTAACACCGCTGCAACCGTCATTCAGTATCAATGGAATAGTATTGAGCATGGTCCTACCCTTTGATGTTTGAGAAATCATTACATTTCTCTGTGAAGCAGCTACAATCGATGGCAAACCTAAATATATCAAATTCTATTACATGAATCTGTAGAGGAATGTTTGAAAATGAAAGGTGCATGGTATTTTTATTTGATCGCTTCATGCCTCTCTTTCTATTATTGCGAGCTCTCGATCAAGTGTGGCTTCAAAAAATAATTAAGTATTGAATGAATTTTTTCTTTCGTTGTTGTGGCGAAATTCGAAGCAATAATAGCTTTAGCTGCATCGAAATAAATGACAAGAGTAAGAAAAACGCATTGCTCACGTCGACCAATACTCAACGTCAACATAAAGAACAAACAAGACTATTATCCAAATGCAATATATTTTACCAAATACAACCAAGGCTATGTCTTCATCATCGTAAACTAAATCAGTCTTTCTCAAGTGCGTCAAGCCTGATAGCGATTCTCACACAATGCATTACGGTAAGTTTGAGTCATTCTTTCTTCTCTAGTTTGATGGTTAGGTAACTGTCAGTGATAAAAACATTGAAACGCAACAGAAACTTTGATCCTTGATTAATCATCTCAAAGTGTTGAAAGATCTGAACGAGTGCTGAAAGTACATCGAAGAGGTGGATATGCGTGTAGACGAAGAGAAGAATCACACTCATACCCACATTGTTAAAACAAAAACATTATAAATTTTCTTCTTTTTATGGATGTGTTGTTTTTATTTAAAACTTACGAGAATTCTTCAATAAACGTAGAATGTAAATAAATCTCTTTGTAAAGACCACCATATGTCATTTCTCTAATGGTGCTATCCTGGTAATCTTTCACTTGGTCTGAGCCGACTCAAGAAGTGAGATAACGTGTGCTCTAAAATTAATATTTTACAGACAGTGAGAGAATATAAGAAATCTGCAGATATCACAGCTTAATTTATTGCTGATTCGTCGAGAAAATAGGAAAAATCGACGTTTCCTTTACAATTCTAAAAATAATTTAACGAGATCAAGAACGGAATAAATATTTTTTTTGATTCCACTCAATCTGAAGTTCAACAATATCAAAGCGATCCTACTAGAGATGTACAAAAAGCAAGTTTTTTACATTTCGATCACAGTCTCGGTTTTTGATTCCAAACGACAATCTCTATTTTTAACACTAGTAAAATATTCATTTATTTTGTAATTTCACCCAAATCGAATGAATAGTAGTCTTCGTTTGAACCATAGATTTGACACTTTGAGAGTATATTTCTAATGATTTCTTGACTAGGTCATATCTTATTCTAAACATGATATTATGCTTTATGAGAAATATGCTACATGATAAATATTGCGATGAAAGAACAATAACCTGAAGAATGATCCACGAATGAGTAATTTATCATTACCTAATCTTATGAGATGATTATTCATCCTTTATTGTTCTCACAAACGGCAACGAGAAAATACACACATACATAGATTAAAACAAATAGTTAGTATGAATTACATTTCACCAAACTCTATTTACTCAATGAAATATTATTCACTATTTTCAACAAACTGAATATGATCGATGTTCTCTATTCACTTCTTGTGAATGTCAAAGAACAAGTTGATCTTCCTTGTATGAATAATCTTGATATCTATGTCCATTAAACCATTTCTTGATCATGTCTCTTCAATGAATAATCAAGTCAATGAATTTAATATTGAACTATATTCAATGGAATGTATGTTTCTTAGTGTCAAGTATCCTCAACTTTTACTTATTGTCATTTTGTTAATTTTCCAGAAGAAATATTCTTTCAATTAACAACATAAGTTGAGATACCTGTTTAAATATCATGATTAAACAAATTTACTTTTAGTATTTACATAGCTGCTTTTAACAAGAATACCAGAATTGATCTTTCATTGAATGAAAACATTTTATGTAATTTCATTGGAAGAAGGTATAGACAAGTTGGTCTCCATATGTCAAAATCAGATCAGTGGAGGCTGAAGACAAGTCTCATGTCTATTTAATTCTATATCAATTCGAAAACTTCATTCATCTTAACAACTTTCCTATCAAAATGACATGTTTGATAAAGTTTGACGCTTAATCATGAATGATACATTTACTCTCGAATATCAATTTTTTCAGATTTCCATAAATTTGCACTTAATCATCTGTGAAAGAGATTGAAAAGTGAATAAATGAAATGAACACTATAAGATATCTGATAGAAATAGTGTACGAGCTCTTTAAAATATCCTAATCTTGAGAACAGTTTTCTATTTCACTTATTCAAGTTTTTTACCTGTTGCATAGAATGATAATTATTGAATATCTGGAAACAGCTATGTTAAGTAAAAAGAAAAACTTATTTCAAGCTGGACACACAACAAATTATTCTAAATGTATTCTTAGATCAATAATTTGCATACATATCACGCCGATGAATCATTCAAATCTCATAATCGATAAAAACTAATTGAAATCGAATGTTTAAGCGATAGTCTTTAGGATAAGTTTTGATTCAGAATTTTTTTAAATTCTTTTCTATGCCCTTAAGTATTATGAAAACTTGATTGTATTTTCAAATGTAACAACATCTTTTAAAAGTTTAACCATGATTAAGTGTTGTTCGTATGAAAAAAAAATCAATAATGAATAATATATAGAATATTAAATAAACTCTATTCCAGAAATTTTGAATTATTGTTCTTATTGGAAAAACTGTTTTCAATCACAAGATTGCATGTATCCGATCTTTTAATTTTCTCGACAACAATGAGAGTGATATCATTTATTATTGCAAAATATATGTATTCAATCTTTATAACATCTACTTATGATATGATTTCTAATCGTGTCATACTGAAATTCGAATAATTAAAAAAACTTTTTTAGATCTTTTTTCTTTCTTTCTTCGAATGAGAATGTGTATAAATATATTGGTATAACCACTGTTTTATACTGCCCTCTCTTTAACTTAGAGGCTACATGTAGTTTTAATGTAATGGTGAAAAAGAATCTGTAACTTATCACAATCGTAGATGTTTACATCATATTGATTATTGTTATATGTCATTTTCCAAATAAGAAAAATGGCTTTAGCTAAACGTATAAAATATCCGAGTGTTATTGAAAGATATTATACAAAATATTATCGTACGAATGTTCATAATGAATTAAATAATGATACACTTGTACTTGTTCATTCAAATCGTGTTTGCGTTTTAATGCTTTCTGAACGACATCCAATAATAGAAAAATCTTTAAGTATTAATTCAATTGAATCATTAGCTAATATTAATCAATCAATGAGTGGTAAATCAAAACGTGGAGCTGATTATGTTCAACCAAATAAATTACTTTATCGTATAAAATGTGAAAATAATGAAAATTTTACTATATGTGCAAGTATAAAAGGACGTTTAGTTGAATTAAATGATGAAATTATAAAAACACCTGAACTTTTACAACAAACACGAAAAGGTGAAGGTTATTTAGCAATACTTATTCCATCTCTAAAAGATGGAGAAAATAATCTAAAATTATTGTTAAATGAGCAAGATTATATTTTATCAAAACAATCTTCATAAATCATTCCTTCATTTTCTTCTAGTGTCAGTTATGAAAATATGAACAGTTGTTTTGTTTTTTTTTCGTTTTTCTAGATTATTTCTTGTCTTTCTTTTTATTTACTTGTCATTTTGAGAGTAAGGAAGCATGCGCATGTGTGTTCATTTGTTGTGCATCTTCCCCATGTTTATCTCTTTTTTTTTTTCTTGTGTATTAAACAATAAATGAGATTAATTCTCTAATCTTCTAGTTAAGCCAAAATAATGGGTTGGGAAGAATTACCAACTATTTTATTAGAAGAAATTTTCAGTCTACTACCAATACATTATCGTTATTATTGTTCTCAAGTTTGTCAATCATGGTAAATATGAATTTGATTTTCAAAATTCATTTATATTAATTATATCTATGTTAGGTATAGAACATTTCATTCACCTATTATTTGGCAAACATTTATATTTGATGGTCGTGTATTTACACGAAAAAAATTTAATTTATTTCGTGGTTATGAACGTATTCTTAATTCATATCGTGTTCAACTTTATTTACCACGTAAAAGTCAATATATAAAACGATTAATTATAAAACCTATTCCTGAATATCATAATATGTGTGATTTTCTTAATATTTTAACAACTTTTTTTCATTATTATGGTGCAGATGATTATCCATTACCATATCTTGAAGAATTTTCATTTACATTTCATGTATTAGTATCAATTGATGATGATACAAATAATCAAGGTACTATTATAAATGCATATTATCAACAACCAAATATATTTATACCTGGTAAAAAACGTTATTACGGTACAGGTGGAATTATTTTACAAACATTACGTCGTTTTATATCATCAATTCGTTGTTTAAAACGTTTTCATTTAAATAATCTTTTACTTGGATCAAATTCTGATATAGGTGCGTGTCTTGATGAACTTCTTGAAAATTCATGTGAAACACTTGAATATCTTGAAATACTTAATTATACATCAAATATTATACCATTGTATATAATTGGATTATTTTCAAATTTATATTCATTATCAATAAGTTCACATTCATTAAGTGATGATGTTCTTCTTTTATTTGCTAATCATCTTATTCATTTACGTCGATTAAATATTATACAAGATGAATTAACAATACCTTGTCGTTATTCAGATTCAATATGGACTGAAATAGATATTATTTTACGAGAAAATAAACGAGAATGGTGTATTCGAATGGTAACAAAAGGAAAATGCAAAAATGAACCATATTGGCCAACTAGTCCAGCACCAGTACGAGCTATTGTTTATGATACAAGTTTGATTAGAGCAGTACAAACTTCAATGTATACTTGTATGGAACAATATAGTAGAACATTGGAAATTTATGTAAGTAACAAAAAGAAAACTGATTAGTTCGAATGTTTTGTTTTTTTTGTTTCTATTGAAACTGATTTATCATGAATGAGAATATCGAAAAATATAGAAAGTAGATTTTTGTATTGTTATGCTTTATTTCAAATTCGTATTGTATGTGAATATAGCCGTTGCCTTGCCGGATATTCTAAGAGTTATCAGACTTTTCAATGTGCAAAATTTTATTATTTGAATTTTCAATAAATACTTAAAAATGGGTAGAAAATTATCATAATTTGGCTTCAAAAGTTTATCGGTACGGACATTTTTAGATTTTTTCTAATCTTATCGAAACCTCATTGCGAGCTCAATATGAACTCAAAGAGCAGGTTACATTAGAGATAGTTCATTCGTAAGTGAAAATTTAGCAATTTTTGAATGTTAAAAATAAATATTATTTCTCGTCTGTGTATCTGAAAATACACCTACATAGTCTGTTTTTAAAAATATGAAAAAGAAAAGTCTGTTACATTTCTATTATCAGAAAAAAAAACATCCGCAAAAATAAAAATCTACTATAAATTTTTGTTCTAGGCTCATCTTCAATCAATGTGTCGTGTCTACATACCACGGTCATTTGTAGAACGTGCTGATATGGCTTATATAGGCCTTGTTAAAACACTTCGATATTTACATACGTTAGTAATAAGAGAACGAATTTCAACTGCAACTTGTCTTCTTATAGTATATTATGGTACAAAACATAATCTTAAATATTTTCATCTTAGACGTAATTGTGTTATTTTACGAAATGAATATCGACAATATATATTTAATGAACTCGGTGATAATAATGAACAGATGCATATATGGTTAGAAAAAAATTGTCGAAAATATAATCATGTAGAAGAGGCTGTATCATTATTATTTGAACGACGATGGAAAATGCTTAGTGATTGGGAATACAATCAAATTCGTGTTTAACTTTTAATCTTTAGTTTTTGTTATTTTTTTTATATAAAATCTAGCTTTCCTTGTTACTCTTGTATAATAATAGATAGAAACGCATAGTAAATACAGAACAGAATATTTTTTAAGAACATTTATAGTTTCTACAATATTTGCAAGAATTATTATTAACTACAATCAAAAATCAAGTTTTACAAACGATGAAAAATAAATACAAAATTTTTATCTTAGAAAAAAAACAATAGATATGAGAGAAGAATGTCGACTTTATATCATTCATCAATATCTGCCACCACTTATCAAAGAAGATACTTGAGCATCTGTTTTTTTCCGCTCTCTCCGCAAGTCAAAAGCTATTTATTCACTGAAAAAATTTCATCCTCTCTCGTATTATATTTATTCTGCAAATTTTGTATTCAATTATATAGGAAACTAGCTCATATAGACTTTATTCTAAAAGATTTTATCTGTATAATCGTAACATTGTTTGCCAGTCAATGATAACTTACTAATAAAAAAAAAATGGAGGCAGTGGGGATTGAACTCACGACCTATCGCATGCGAAGCGATCGCTCTACCACTGAGCTATGCCCCCAGTAAACCGCTGATAAAAAACTTCTTTAGTCACAACTATCAAATTTTAAGTGAAAAAAAATTTGTCGTTATTCGATATCAAATAAAATTTATTTTCTTTTTCTTCAATTTCATTAAATGATTTCTCTCTCTCTCTTTTTTTTTTTTTTATTTTTAATTATCATGCATAACTATAGAAAACAATCAAATGATTATAAAGAAGAAAAAAAAACAAAAAGCTATTGAAAATGTTTATTTATTCTTGTTATCTTTCTGTTCATCGGATTGTTGTTGATCAGATGATGAAGAACTGTCTGATGACGATGATGATGATGATGATGATGATGATTGAGAACTTTCACGATCAGATTGCATCTAAAACGAAACTCATATAGATTATATATGAAAAAAAAAAAGAAACAATGAATTTATACTTTTTTATAAGCTGTTTCAAATAATTTCAAACTCTGTTTTTGAAATTCATCAGCTGTTTCTTTTATACTTTGAACAGATTCATTATCTTTATTTGATAATTTTTCACGTAATTTTGAAGCGCCTTCTTTTAATTTCGAATACTAAAACAAAAGAAAATTAAATCGATAAATATTTTTTATTTTTTTGAAATTAATAAAATTTTATACTTCATCCGATGGTAATTGATCTTTATATTCTTCCATTTTTGATTCTGTATCATGTAAAATTGATTCAACACGATTAACTTCTTCAACCATTTCACGTCGTTTTTTATCATCAGCTGAATATTTTTCTGCAGCACGAACCATATTTTCTATATCATCTTTACTTAAACCACCACTTGATTGAATAATAACTAAAGAATAAAATTATTTCAAAATGAATATTTTAATTAAATTAATAAGACTTTTCTTTTTTTACTTTGTTGTTCTTTTCCAGTACCACGATCACGTGCTGATACATGTACAATACCATTAGCATCAATATCAAATGTAACTTCAATTTGAGGAACACTAATTTAAATTATAATCAAAATTAAATTGAATATTTTGTTTTTAGTTATTTTCTTACCCACGTGGTGCAGGTGGAATACCAACCTAATGAAATAAAAATTTATAATTTAAAAAAAAATATTTCTTGTTTTTAAATTTACTAAATTAAATCTTCCAAGTAATTTATTATCGCCAGCCATTTCACGTTCACCTTGATGTACTTTTATTTCAACTTGTGTTTGACCATCAGCAGCAGTCGAAAAAACCTATGACAAAAAAAAAATAAATTCACCATCGATTTCAAATAGATCATATTCGATTTTTATTTTAATGTAAAACTTACTTGACTTTTCTTTGTTGGTATTGTTGTATTACGATTAATAAGTTTTGTAAATACACCACCTAATGTTTCAATACCTAATGAAAGTGGAGTAACATCAAGAAGAAGAAGATCAGTTACATCACCACCAAGTACACCACCCTGAAAGTTTTTTTTTTATATTGAATTCAATAATCAACAACCAAAAAACAAATTCAAATAAAATAAATATTTACTTGAATAGCAGCACCCATAGCAACAGCTTCATCAGGATTAACAGATTTATTTGGTGGTTTACCAAAGAGTTCTTGAACAGTTTGTTGTACCTTAACAAGAAAAAAATTGACTGTTTAGTGGTACTGTTTAATATTATTATATTGATAAAATACTCGAGTATTTAACACTCTAAAAGATGAGGATAGATAAAACTGTTTGTGTCTTCTGACAATAGTTCAGTGTTGAAATAAGTTCGATTGCAAATCCTAATATCATTTCAACGGTTTATTTTGTGACGTCTCTCAATGAAGTTTTCAAATCACACTCGTACGTCTAGAAGGATGATTAAGTTTTTCTTCACGTCGTAAATAAGTACAGATATCACTAGAAAAATTGATTGAGAGACGTTGCAAAATAAACCTTTGTAATGTGGTTACCGGACGTCACTACTGGATTGATTGTAGCACATAAGAACGACTTTATTCACTTCCATCCTTTTAGATAAAATGTGTTGTATTAAAGTGGTACCAGATATTCATTTCTTCCGCCCTCAAATACGTCGATTAATTTTGAAAAAAATTAAATCACCTATGAGAGAATCATTTCAAGTGATAAACCATTTTTTGAGTTCGAACTATATGCATAAGGTGAAACTCAGTGTGATATGAAAACTTCTAAAAGGACAAATGTTCTTAGCTGTTCCTTTTAGAGTTATCGTCATTTAATTGGAATAACACAGTATACTTCACGAAATTGAATGATAGCATGTCCTTTCGAAAAGAATGTTTCCTTCATGAAATTTTCTTATTCTGCATTAGATATGGATAATTTTATAGAAATTCAATATCTCATGAAGAAAACTTTTTTTTTTTAACTGAAAATTTCAAGTTAAAATATACGTAGGCATAACTTTTTTCATCTAACAGATATATATCCGCTATTTTAATATTAAGATATGTGGTTCTATAGCTACCAATAAACTACTTCTATAGAATAGATTTAATGATTAATAAGTCGTACTCAAATCAGTATTTTCTTAGAAATGTCTTGCTATATTTACAGACCAATAAAAAAAAAATGTCTATTTTATTAATTTTCTTCTTACTTTAGGCATTCGAGTCATACCACCAACAAGAATTACTTCATTAATATCTGATAATTTAACATCTGCATCTTTAATAGCTTTTTTACATGGTTCTAAAATAAAAGACACATTTGATAAAAGATCTCAATTAAAAACAAAAAAAAAAAAACAATATTGTTCGTACCAACAGTTCGTTTAATTAAAGGAGCAACAAGATTTTCAAATTGTGCACGAGTTATTTTTGAATTCATATGTTTTGGACCTGATTTATCCATTGTTAAATAAGGTAAATTAATATCAGTCTATAAAACAAAATTCAATTTTAATATCTTAAGTCAAATAGATATCATTTTTATTCTTACTTGTGCTGCAGATGATAATTCACATTTTGCTTTTTCTGCGGCTTCTCTTAAACGTTGCATTGCTTGTGGATCTTTTGTTATATCGATACCACTCTTCAAAACAATTCACATTAATTATTTTATTTAATAAAAAAAAAAAAAGTTTCATTTTACCTCTTTTTTAAATTCAGCTACAAGATGTTTAAGTAAAGTATTATCAAAATCTTCACCACCTAAAAATGTGTCACCATTTGTTGAACGTACTTCAAATACATTTGATTGCATTTCAAGTATTGATATATCAAATGTACCACCACCAAGATCATATACTGCAATACTAGAAAATTAAAAAAATTTTATTTTTTTTATTCTAAAATAATTTTTATTTTACATTTTATCATTTGTTTTTTCAAGACCATAAGCAAGCGCAGCTGCTGTTGGTTCATTAACAACACGAAGAACATTTAAACCAGATATTTGACCAGCATCTTTTGTTGCCTAAAGAAAAATTTGTTTGTTTCATTTATTAAATAATTCTTTTTTTTTTTTGTTTTTCAAAATCAACAAACTTGTCGTTGTGAATCATTAAAATAAGCTGGAACAGTAACAACAGCATTTTTAACTGGTGAACCATAATAATTTTCAGCTGTTTCTTTCATTTTCACTAAAACAAAAGCACCTATTTGACTTGGTGAATACATTTTACCATTAGCTTCAACCCATGCATCACCATTCGATGCACGTACTATTTTAAATGATACACTTTGCCTATTGAAATTAAACATTTTTCTTTTCTTTAAATATTTAATAAAAACTAGAAAATTTACATTTCTTTTTTAACTTCTTCATCATTAAATTTTCTTCCAATAAGACGTTTTGTTGCATAAAATGTATTTTGAGGATTTGTTACTGCTTGACGTTTAGCAGGCATACCAACAATACGTTCATTATCTTTTGTAAATGCAACTACGGATGGTGTTGTTCGCATACCTATATATATAGACATATTTTTTTATTCTATTAATTTTATCTTTTATAATGAATTTATTAATATACCTTCAGCATTTTCAAGTACTTTAGGTGATTTTCCTTCCATAATAGCAACACATGAATTTGTTGTACCTAAATCAATACCAATAATATGACCTTTAATTTTGCCACCACCAGCTTTAGATACATCTTTCGCATCACTAAATATATATATACATTCATAGATGATTGATATTTTTAACAAAAATCTACCTTTTGTGACGAATACTTTGGCCTTGAATTGCTGCCTAAGAAAAAAAAAGGATTAAATAAGATTGATAAAATAAAGAAAAGAAAAAGAAAATCTTACTCGAATTATTGAAGATTGTTCATGATTAATTCGTGGTGTTAAATGTTTTAAACATGTTTTTAAAACTCGTTGACGAACGAACATTTTTGAATAAATGATCTAAAAAACAAAATACACTTGTTTTATTTAATGTGCACTACACAAATCTACTAGAGAAACAGGATTTATGGAAGATGCTAAAGAGAATGAGATGTCATAATCAATGAGTATGAAAATTGATTGAAAGTAAATAACGACAACGATTGGTACTTCGAGAATTGCAGATAAGTAATAAACAAATACGAGAAAAAAGATGATTCCTTCTCATTCCTCCATCAAAAGATTTACTCAAATTAAGAGAACTTGTTAAAGAATTTTGATCGTTTTGTTCTTTCTTTGGAAAAGAAAAATAATCTACATGATCATGTCTGTTTTAATAAAGAAAAAAAATATTCAATATTAAAATACGAAAAACAGAACATAAATTCAAACATTATTTTTGTAGATGTCGTACTCGTACGGTTCACACGACAAAATGTTTTTGTGTAAGGGATAGAGATATGCCGAACTAAAACTAAAGATTATAGTTAAATATTCTATAGTTTTAAGTGAATTATTTTATAAATCATATCAAGAAGAACATATTTTAAGAGAGATGATCGAAAAAAAAATGTTCGTCGTCGAAGGTCATAAACAACAAAATTGAATGGTAGATAAAAGTAAATTTAGTCAAATTTCAGTTTTAATCAGCCGAAAAAGTCACAATGAATTTTCTTTTCTTAAAAATAAGTTTTAATTTTCATAAAGAAAACATTGCACGTATTTCTTACTTTTAAGTACACGGAGTATCCGTTTTCTAATGTATACTCAAATACCTTTTTCTATGTTGACATCAGGAATGGTGTTTAAAAGTCTTTTTGATGAATAAACAAATCAATATATTAAGCCCTTGTAGCATCAAACTACGAGAGAAGACATTTATTAGTCTACCACTTGAAATACATAAGCTAAAACGTCCTTCATTGGTTTTTCGTTGGAACATAAGTAAATAAAACTGAACAATATAATATATTCATACTTTGAATATAATCTATGAGCCAAGTTAAATTTATAGATAAATAAACATAACCGTAAAGGTTCTCTCCATCTTCTTGGTCGCACCTGCACTAGGATAAACTAGATTTCAATTAAATATACTCGTCAACTCGACAATTTCTTAGATTCAATTGAGACTTCAATTAAAGGTAAATATAACTTAATACAAATATATAAGATTAATTCTGTATCCTTATCTCTTTCGTTTTTTGTTGTTATTAAATCTTTTAAAAAGTCGGCTTAGTTTTGCCAAAATCTCAACTTTTCTAGTTACTCAATATGGAAAAAACTGAGAGTTTTGACTTTTCATAAGTTTTAACCCTATACTTCAATAAGTATACATCATATTTAATTATTCAATTCAGTCTCATTTTTAACATTGTTTTATATAATTTTTAGATGCGAAAATGATTTGAGCTGTTACATCATTGTACCTAGGCATATGTGTCTTCTACGTCGCTTATATTCCTTAATCGTATATTTAACAATAATGCATGTAACAGCGTTCTTTTGCATGACATTGAGATTTCGACGTGCTGGAAGTGCAGTCACATATTATTTTCAATAGAATGGCATCACTTCAACACACACACCTGTCTGTAATAATATTTGAACCTAATTAATTAGAAAGAGACTTTCGAAAAATTAGATCGATCTACATTCATGAAAAAGCTCGAACTACTGTCCGAACAACATAGCTTGTCATTGATGATACCATTCTTATCTTCGTTTTACTCGCATTAATCAATGCATCGAACAAAAAAAGCAATTACATGCACGTCATTCCTACGTAGGATTTTTTTATCTGAGAAATAAAGCACATGCTCATTTTCAAGTCGATATATCATGACAAGGTTAAAAAATGACGGTTCTTGGTCTTTTTTTCCCTTTGTTAACACAATTCGATCATGACAACAAAGTTAATAGTTTTGCTCATATGTGTGTCATTGCATACAGTTACATATGGTTTTCAATGCCCAGGCGATGGTCTCTTTGCTAATCCACAAGATCAGCATTCCTTCTATCAATGTACACATGGCATGTATTATTTGATGCAATGTCCGGCTGGATTAGTTTGGAATCAACAAACACAATTTTGCTACTGGGACACTCCTAAACGTATGTTTATTCCTGTTTTGATTTGTGTCCTAAATCAAGTAGTTTATTTTTCCTTCAAAGTTGAAATAGATCATCAAAGTCATGTATGCTATATTTCGTTCATTAGTCTTGTTTTTGTTTAGCTCCTATGAATTGTGATCATGGAAACCAAAGCAACTGTCGAGAAATGACTGAATGGTCAATGGAAGGAATTCCTATCGTCGGTTCCGACAGACAATTCGGAGACGATGGATTCCATTTAGGCTCACCGTTCGGCATATATGTTGATGCTGAACGCGACAATGTTTATGTTGCTGATACTGAAAATCATCGAGTTCAGAAGTTCAATCTCAAAGCCATTGGTAGCTCGGGCGTTACTGTTGCGGGTGGGAATGGACCAGGCAATGCCTCCAATCAATTAAATATGCCTATGGCTGTACATGTCGATAGAAATGAAAATGTATATGTATCGGATGTTGACAATGATCGTATTCAAATGTGGGCAAAAGGTGCAACGAGTGGTGTCACAGTAGCTGGGGGACATGGCAAAGGTACAGCTGTTAATCAGATAGGTGCTTGTCAGGGTATTTTTGTTCATGAAGAAACAAACGCATTGTTCATATCAGACTTTTATAATGATCGTATTGTCAAATGGATTCCTGAGAAAGGCGAAGGTATTATGGTGGCGGGTATTGGTGTTGGTGGGTCGAGAGCAAATCAGCTAAGTGGACCGCGCGGTATCTTTGTCGATAAATGCGAAACAATCTATATCGCCGATTTATGGAATAACAGAATACAAAAGTGGAAGAAAGGTGCAACCGAAGGTATTACTGTTGCAGGAGGAAATGGAAAGGGTTTAGCTGCTAATCAACTGAATAGTCCTTGGGATGTCGAACTTGATCAATATGGCAACATTTACGTTGCCGATACTGACAATAGTCGTGTTTTGAAATTTACTCCAGGTGCAACCAATGGTGTGCTAATGGCGAATGGAATGGGATGGGGTACCGGTTCCGGCCAGTTCCGCGAGGTTTATAGCATAGGATTAGACAAGACAGGAAATTTGTATGTAAGCGAGAGCAGAAATAATCGACTTCAACAATTCAATATCAATCCAGGAACGAATAGTTGTTGATGTTTTTCGATGTTGCTATTCTTAATGAAAATTTAAACTTTTCATTGATGATGTTCTTTCTAGACAACATGTAATACGAGGCATAAAATAAGGAATTGAATGAGTGTTTACTCTAGAAGTTGTCAATTATTAATTATGTTTAATTCTATCGAGAAAAGCAATGAACTTTACTTTGAAAGCAATGATATAATCTTAAGTTCGCCATGAAGATGATTCTATTTAGCATGTGAGAGAGTAAAAATATGTTTAATTCACAGACAAACACTTATCTGTTCTTCTTTCTCCTCCTTGATTGACTAGAAGATTTTGAGAAAGATATTTCGAAGATAAAAGAAGCTGTTGACAATGCTCCATGCTGGACAACAATGAAGATGTTTATCATAATTTGTGATAGTTCCCTACAGCAGCATGTCCAAATGTCTGTCAAAGTCTGCACGACACAGTCGTTTTTTTTGTCTATTCTCCTCAGCACTCATCAATAATCGTATTTCACAGTAGAATAAATTCTCAAAAATAGTAAATAACTGCTTTGGTTATGTATTGAGAAAATTTAATCTTAATAGTTTGCACATACTGAGGTTAAAATGTTGACCAGATCTGCCGATCAGTTAAAAACGACCATCGATTCAATTGGAACTGACAATGTAAATAATTAGTACCTTCGCGATGGAGTGTGGGGTATGGGCGTGGATGAAGAGAAGATTCACACCTACACTCCGAGACTTGCAACCTTAGTAAGTAACAGGTGCGTTGTCATGACGATTTGTTTTTTTTTCCCGAGAGTACCGGATGTATTTAAACCCTTGAATTTATCTTTCGTATTATCTAACATATTTCAATATATTAAAAAGAATCGTAGTCTGAAGGAGTCATTCAACATCCTCAACTGGTTTTTCTATATTGACTTTCTTATCGTTTTCACTCTCAGCTTAGTGCTCAGTTCATCTTTATTATCATCCTTGACATTTTACGTCAAAATGATTAACGAATTTTGCACAAGAACTCTAGAAAAACGCGGAGTGAAATTAGCCTTGAAACGTGCTCTAATTATATGCTTCATTGCTATTTAAATCAGAACGTTGTTTTCTAGAGATTTATTTCACTTGCTGCATAATGCTTAGAGTTGTCTAAATAGGTCTACAGTCATATAGAGTAATAACAAAATGTAATTCTTTTTTTTTTTTCTGTATAATTTTATTTATATTTATTCGTAACAACAAGGACATGCGACTTTTTAAAATAAAACATTAAGTATAAATATGTATTTTGATCATAATATTATGAATCTATTGATAAATAATTGGTATTTGATTGATCTAAACTTCGGCAATCATCAGCGTCAAAGTTTGAACTTCCAACATAGTTGTGACGATGTTACAGATTCGTCAAACGATGTAATGACGGTACGCAAACATATAATCAATATCATCTACAGCAAAAACTCGCTATGCAAGTATCTCTCGTTAATTAGCATGTTCTCATTCTGAATAGTAGGTGATTGCTTCTGATTTCATCAGCAACAACAACATTTGTAATGTAAGTAGCATATGTTCTATCGCTCATGTGCAGAACGAGAATAGAATGATGTTCTGCATATTGGACCATGATAAAGAATCATGAGACACATATATAAAAGAAAAGGACGAACGATGCATATATAAAAGAAAAAAAATCTTACAATAGACAACAGCAACAGTGCTTGGTTTAACGTCTCACTGTTTTGTTTTTTTGTTAAAAACTATTAATATCAAATCATATCAACATGTCCTGATTTACATTTAATTAAAAGAACTGAATAAATTAATTTTTGGAAAAAACCACAATATCACCTTGTGTAATCGAAAAGTAATTGCAAATGAATATTTATGCGTTTGAAAAAAACCAAAATGAAAACCTCCTATTAATGAGCACCTTAGTAAAATGAATACTTTTGGTCAATCCTGATGGGACTCACATTAGAGAGGTTTTACTGTATAAAATATCAGCAACTTTAGCATTGAATTTCATTTTAATTTTTTTTATAAAATGCTCGAGAAAATGAAAAATAAAGTTTTCTAATTTTATATATTTGATTCATTTTAGTCTTTTAATCAAAAAAAATCTATTGCATTCTTTAGAAAATAGAATCATGATATTTGAAGTAAAATTGAAAACATGTCAAAGAACATAATAGTATAAGAAAAGATAGAATATCTAACTAATATTCAGCAAAAAATAAATTACAACTGTTTGTTTTAGTATATCATCATTATGAAAATAACTTTTTAAGTAAATGATTATACTATATATAGAAAGCGCTGGGAATTTCTTGATATAATGTATAATTATCTTTTATGCTAGACTTATGTATTAGAAAATAAATCAAATTAAATAAAAGTACGTTCATGATCAAAATTTAGCAAATTACAACTTGTTAATAAACTTTTAATTCATTTTTCATATTTATCATCATTATAAGAACTAAATTTTGTAAAAG